TTTAAATTCATCATCATGAGCAAATAGTTAATGATTCAATTAGCTTACCATACATGTTAAGGGAAATTATTCATGTTGGATATGGAATATGATAAAAGCCTCTTTTTCTTCGCTTCTACCCACTCCTCAGTATAAGAATTAAATTTCTTCAACAGGCCTTGACAACCTAATTGAACATTAGTCTAATATAGAGCATTACCAGAAGAGAAATGAAAGCGTGCTGTCCTTGAACACTCACAGCTTCATTGTGAGCCCTACTGCCTTGTCCCGGTTATTTCTCTCCCTGGCTCTGGAGTGAAAAGGACCTTCCTTCCCGAGTGGAGAGCATAATTTCCCCCTCTCTAATGACATAGAACTATTCAGCAGGCTACCCATAATTGTTGGACCAGAGCTGGTAGAATAATAGTCCCAAACTCGCACCCTCCAAGCTTTTCTCTTGCAGCACATGCAGTGACCTGAGTCTTCTAGAAAGATTGAGATAACCAAAACCAATAAGTTCTTCAAGCAATAGGAAGCCTATTATTTCCTAATAAGCTTTTTTAAAGTGAAAATTAGAAGCAGAGTAGACGTGGAGCTGATTCCTAATGTGTCATTGTGCATGTCTGTAAGTGTATTGGTGGGTTTAACCAGGCAGTATGTCCTTGTGTGGCCATCTCCAATGTTCTAGGGCTAATACATGTAACTCAGTGGCTCCCACTGGACGTTAATGAGCCCTGAGAGAGGAGGGAAAGGAGAGCAGCACTGGTCTAATGAACTCATAGCTCGCCATGCGCCATCACTCTCCTGCTCAGCTCTGTGACCTGGACAATGCGAGCGCATTGTTGCTGCAGCATTGTGTGATCCAACCCAGGCAGCAGGCTCCCCGTTGAAAATCAATGGCTCCCTGTAACTTAAACTAGGTGGTGGTTTCGGGGCCAGCATAGACAGCTGTCACTCTGAGCATTGTTGGCTCCTGACAGGAGCCGCTAACGAGGGCATAGAAAAGAGAGTAGAGACAGAAGACTAGAAACGGTGCGGTGCAAAGTCATGGCTGCAAGACTTCAACCCAAGACAATGAAGATTTGTATCCGGATCACAGCTCAGGTAGTGGTACTGTTACGGCTGTTTAGAAGGAGTAAGATGTTGAATACAATGCAAGAAAACATAGTTACATATTACATCGCATAATGACCCATTTCCATTGAACAAATCCTAAATCAAAACATCATCTGCCAATGCAATAAACTACTGCATGTTGTTTATGAAGAAATTGAAGTAATTATAAATATTTCAAATAAGCACAAATTATATAAATAATAAAAGAAATGATGGGAAGGTTTTTTTTCCCCTACTATGTCAGTTTTTTGTACTTTTTAGAAAGTTGCTTGAAATTGTCAAAATGTGTTTAAAATGACACAGTACTGCTTATGTGCAAAGCTTCTTGTGAGAAATGCCTTCTTCAGATACTTTTAAAAGTTGTGGATAAGACCAGCGCTGAATAATGTAATTTTTATTTTTATTTGAAATTATCATGTATGTTTTAATAATTTAAACATTTGAAAAATTTACTTTGTGTTATGTTTTTTGACATAGGCACAGAAGCTAAACACAAAAAGGTTAATATATCAGTGGACTGTGAAATGAAGGGCTGCTACATTTGGTTTTGGACTGTAAGAGATCAAGCCCTTTGGTGTCAAGACCAAATCCATCCATCCATCCATCCTTCCATCCATCCATCCATCCTTCTTTCCATCCATCCATCCATCCTTCTTTCCATCCATCCATCCTTCCTTCCTTCTTTCCATCCATCCATCCATCCTTCCTTCCTTCCATCCATCCATCCATCCATCCTTCTTTCCATCCATCCATCCATCCATCCATCATTCTTTCCATCCATCCATCCATCCATCCATCCATCCATCCATCCATCCATCCTTCCTTCTTTCCGTCCATCCATCTTTCCATCCATCCATCCATCCTTCTTTCTATCCATCCATCCATCCATCCTTCCTTCTTTCCGTCCATCCATCTTTCCATCCATCCATCCATCCTTCTTTCTATCCATCCATCCATCCATCCATCCTTCTTTCCATCCATCCATCCTTCCTTCCTTCTTTCCATCCATCCATCCATCCATCCTTCCTTCCTTCCATCCATCCTTCTTTCCATCCATCCATCCATCCATCCATCCATCCATCCATCCTTCTTTCCATCCATCCATCCATCCATCCATCCTTCCTTCTTTCCGTCCATCCATCCATCCATTCATCCATCCATCCATCCTTCCTTCTTTCCATCCATCCATCTATCCATCCATCCATCCTTCCTTCTTTCCATCCATCCATCCATCCATCCTTCCTTCTTTCCATCCATCCATCTATCCATCCATCCATCCTTCCTTCTTTCCATCCATCCATCCATCCATCCATCCATCCATCCATCTATCCATCCATCCATCCATCCATCCATCCATCCATCCATCCTTCCTTCTTTCCATCCATCCATCCATCCATCCATCCATCCATCCATCCTTCCTTCCTTCCTTCCTTCCTTCCTTCCTTCCTTCCTTCCTTCCTTCCTTCCTTCCTTCCTTCCTTCCTTCCTTCCACCCACCCATCCATCCATCCATCCATCCATTTTTTTAAAGAGTAAATGCACTTTAGAGGAGATCAGAACATATTTGGTGAATAAGAAGTTCTGCCGTAGCGAACATATACCTCATGACTGATTATTTTCATCCTGAATGGAAGCATTACTATCCAACTTCTTTCTTGTTGTGTACCAATGATAAATACCATCACTAATGTTAGCTTACATGATAAAGTATGGGAATAGTGAGTTTGCTTTGCATGACCTGGACAAAAGCACTGTGCACCAAAATCTGATTATAATTAATTTCCTAAAATAGACTAAATACAGGACTCTGTTCTTATTCCATTCTTACTTCATTTGAGAAAAGGAAGTTATAAATAGTGAAGTTGTTTCAAATGGCTTTTCCCCAGGATACCCTTAGCTCCCTCATGGTCGAAAGCTTCCCCAATATTTACTCTAAAAAGTTAAATATTCTTAGTTTTGTGTGGTGTTTGAAGTGCATTTATGGCTGGTCTTTAGTGATCTATCTTTAAAAATGTTTTCTACTTGCAGCAACAACTAAACAAAATTATGAAGAATGCACAGTGTTGCCTATACAGGCAACTGTGGTGGATGGAGGAAAGCTCATGTTACATGTTGAGCAATCGTAAGGTCATGAATGGAAAAGAAAAAAATATGTATTTACCTTTTAACCTTGTGCATTGCACCCTTAAGTATTTAATTTAAAAAGGAAAGCAAACTTTTTCATTTCAGGTCTTTTAATGCCAATAATTACAGGCTGGACTGCAGGAGCCATGTGAATAGTTTTATGTGAAAAACAGCTGATAGAACTATCCAATCGCTGGACATCTATGGCCAAGTTTTTATTTCTATTTAAAGCAAATAGCTACATATTTAGCTCCTCCTGGCCAGTGGGCGGTGCACTTGTGCTTACCAACTCTTTATCTAACATTCAGTTGTGTTGCCAACTGTTTGCCAGTTGGTTGCCTGGTTCGCCAATGCTAAGCATTTAACTTACCTATCCAGGAGGAAGGAAGCCACCTCTGCTTGAATCCTAAGCCACTTTACTTCTTTAAAGTTATAGTGGAGGATGTTCTTTTTCTGGGTGGATCATCAAAATAAGTGGTCATACTAATTGTCAATCATTCTGTTGTTATCTTTAAGTAAGGCCGTCCTACATGTTCTTCCCAATTTTCACTTACCGGTGGTGAGTCTGACATAGTGGAAAAATTGCAAATCTTCTTTTGGAAAGAAAGCTTGTATGAGTGATGCAAACAGCAACTTTTAAACAGAGCATGCGTGAGGAGAAATGGGCTTGTGCACCCTGTTGCATGCTTTTAATAGGCGTGTTCCTCTAGGGAGCGGGTACAGGATTGTGCATGTGTTTTGTTTTTTAAGGTGGAGGAAAAATTCACGAAAATCCTCCAGTATGCCTTTCAGGTTCAACCTTTAGTCCCTCTTAACACGTAAGTTTGTCCTCCAAATTCTAGATGTTCTGTAGATGCAGTTTTTTTTTATTTAGGTTTTAATTGTTTTGATGAAAAAGTTGTAACTATGACTTTAAGACCGAATAGTCCTTGGCTTTTTTTTCTCCTTCCACATATTGAGAATATATGGAAAAAAATCTCTTTTTGGCCACAAGTTATCTGAAACTCAGCTTGACAGAAAAGTTAGAAATGAGCTATATTGAAAAAAATCAATCAAACATAATTAACTTTACTAGATTTAGACGTCAGTGCCTTGTCACTCTTTATTTTTTACCATTTTAAGTTTTCTGTTCTCTATAAATTCCTATCAAGTCTCTGCGCAGACCAAGAGTGTTTCAATTTAAGATTAGCGAATTAAATTCACTTTGAAACACTGCATTTGTAAATGAAGATGTGCAGCTGCTTCTTTTTTATCCCATACAGAACACAAGCCCTTAAAAGACTAAAAAGGCAGGGTATGTTTTTCACAAACATTCAAAGGAGAGCCCTGCTCGTCTTGTTTGAGACAGTTTCTCAGTCGCTGATTTAACGAACCTCACAGAGACCGATTTTAAAGTCCAGTGATTATGATAGTTTCTTGGCAACGCTGGAGCTTGATGACACCAAGGGAGAAGATGCACAGCACACTGGCTGTCTTTTTGGCAAAGAGCGCCAAAAAGGGAAACCTCGTAATGGGCAGAAAGCTTTGGATAGTTAGCAATCAGGATGTGCAAACCAATTACAGAAAAAAACTAAAGGGTTTACTACAGTTTTCAGGACTGAGAAAACAGTGATGCTCTTGTGAGAGCTGTAATTTCTTATTCATTGCAGGCTTTTAAGCTCACTTTTTATCACTCAAACCAGAGCAATCCATTTTTCCTCCCCTTTGATTTTAAACATCAATCATGCTCGTCAAGGATGGAAAACAACATGATGCTTAATTTTTGTTTTCCTTTTCTTAAGGAGATATACATTTGAAAATGTAGAACCTCACAAGCCTCTGCTCCACTTCAAATGGATTTTGGACTCAGATTTGATTGGATCCTGTTGCTCTGGGGCCATGAAAGCTTCCAAAGAGCAAAAAACTGAGATGCCAAGGATATAAATGGAGCCATATTGATGCAATGACTGAGTTCCCAAAAAAAGGTGTGTGTGTTTCTTAAGAGCTCTTATCCCCCAAGCAGTACAGCATGGGTAGCAGCACTCCCCCATCCTGCCATTCATTTCATCTGCTTCCAAATGTCACAGACCTTTGTTAAGATCAGCAAGCAGGGCAACCATTTGTGTGTGTGGATCTGAAATAGTGTGGTTACTGCTGTTCTCTGCATCTTATTCGCATTTAAAACTATCAAGCCGAGCAAGACGGCCGTCGTTAGACGTCTCAATCATCACAATTAAAGAAAAGAGGTTCATGAGGCATGAAATAGTTCCATAACAAGGTAGCGACGGAAGCGGACAGCATTTTTTCTGTCTTTAGCCTGAAAGAAATAATTGATTTTTCTTCTTTTTTTTTTCTTCTTCTTCTATGGTAGAGCCAATAAGCAGTCACCGTTAAAGGGGAAAAGGAAGAGAAGAGCAGCGGAGAGGTCAGCAAGGCCGACGCAGGCGATATTAGCAGGAAATAGGTTGGGGCAGGGAACGCTGTAGGCAAGCTGCAGCTAAACAAGCCATTATCATTCATTCACAGGAGGTTTGTCATTCACTGCACAACCTCCACAAAAACTGGGTATTTTTATATGCAGCCATTACTAGGCTTTTGTAGGTTGTGGGGATTTGTCGTTTTTACTTTCAGTTTCCTTTCCTTTTTTTTTCTTATTTTGTCTCCTATTTTGTATTGTTCTCTCTCCCAAGTTTTACGTTTTTTATCATTTATGTTTCTGTCTTTTTTTCCCCTCCAATGTAAGCATGTAAGCTCCAATGTATTCATTCATTCCTTTTTTCCCCCCTGGGGTTGTTTTGACAACCAATGATTTAAGTTAGTTTTGCATAATCTACTGACAGAAATGTGTTCATGTGACTCCTATATAAAATATTTACTGTTTTCTGATTTGACCAGGATTCATATTATCTCACGTTTTCCTGGAGATGATTGAGCCAAAATAGAGCAGAACTAAAATAAATGGAATATGGAGTAAACCAAAGGTCCAGGAAAATTACTCAGATTTTGATTGGTGTTTTAAACTAGTTTGCAGCTGTTGGAAGTATTAGGGTATAAAATATTAGCTGAGAGGGAATAAATGGCCTCGAGGATTTAAACTGGGAATGTGAACTGACAGAGATGCTTTCTTTATGTTTCCTCTAACATTTTATTTATATCCTTACTCCCTTTATCTGATACATATTCTTTTTTTTCCCAATTTTCTCTTCCCTTTCTTTCTGATTTGTGGTTGTTTCCTCTAATGTTTTTGTTTGTTTCGCTTTTCTCCCTGCTCCTTCTGCCCTTTTTTTTTTCAACGTATTTTCTTTTTCCTGTACTTCTTTGTTATATTTAATTTTTTTTTCATCATTGGTTTCTTTTTCCTGTTTTCCCAATGCTTTCAAAGATTTTGACCCTGTTATTAAATCGCTCTTTTTCTTTCTTGTCCTTTATATGTTTTCCATTTAAATGCTTCCCGTTCTTCATTGTTTAGTCCTTCGATGTAATTTCTTATATTTAAAAAAAATTTTCTCCTACATTTTGTTCTCTTTCTTGTTTCACCATTTTCCTCTTCTTTCCCTTTCTTATTAGTTTTCCTTTTTATTTCACTCCTTTCTTCAATGACCTCTCCTCCTTTTCCTTCCTCTCCTGTGCTCCCTTCCTTCTTTATCCTAATACAGAGATCCAGCTTTATTGGAAGAGCTTTATAGAACCAATACCTGCAGATTAAACCGCTGTCCTTTTCCCTCTCCTTGTTATTAAAGCACCCGCTCTGGCACATCTGTGTGCGTTTGAATCCCCCATCCTTGCTGCACCTCAGACTGGACCAGTGTTTATTCATGTGATTGCACGTGCGCCGCAGTAATCGGTGCATTATTATTATCCAAGCAGCTCGCATGCAGCAGGGACGCTCTGCTAGATTAATTCATCTCAACCACGGTACAGTATGTCGGTGTTTGCATCAACAAATGCAAATCCCAAGAGCCTTAATGTCCCTGGATGTTTACACCATGTGTGATGACTGAATAAAGAAACTGTGATTCATGTAATGAATGCGATGAAATAAAGTGCAAACACATTAAGTCATCATAAGGTGCTGAGTGTGTTTGTTTATGTGTCGTGTTTATGTGATTAGAAGCACTAATAGCTTCCACTCTACTTCAGGTTTGCTTTTAATATTTCTTGTGCGTATAAATTCATATCCAGGTTTTTCTCGAGGAAACTGACTAGTGGGACACGTTGTGGAAGACTAGTGATTTTGTTGTTGTAAGTTAACATTTTTGACAACAAGTCACAGTCTACCTCAGTGTTTCCCACTCTAACATCCCTTTCATTTCCAGTTTCCACTTAGTATATGTCTCCATTTTCCTCCTAACAGCATCTATACAATTATAATCAGCCCCCTGCATTTGTTACGTCTGCCCTGAGTCCCTCTGTTTTTATTAGTAACATGTGTTTACTGGTGGCAACGCTGAGAACATCTTAATGACGCTTTCTTCGATCAGTAGGGGTTTGAAAACAAGTGTTCCTCCTCCCACTCTGCCACAAGCACAAAGGAGATGATCGCTAAAGAAACTGATGGAATAATGCACTGCAAGTTGCAACTATTATGTGGACTCTATTCCGGTTTATTCAGGTTTAGATAACAAGAATTTGGGTCATCTATAGATGTTCTTTTATAAGGGTGCTATGGTTCTTCACCCTGGGAGCTATTGTGTCAGGGGGTAGCATGAATTCTTGGGGAAATAATCTGTGCGATGCAACCAGAAAAAGTTTCCTATTTATTTACATTTTAAAGTAATGGGATAAGGTGCCTCCCTGTTGTTGTCTATAGTGTAAACCCTGAGGCTCCACCCAGACTGGTTTAGGTTATACAACAAGCTACTTAGTTTGATAGGGTTCCAATCTAGATGAAAAGGAACCAAATAAATTTGAAGTCTTCTCCCAGAACAAATAATTTTGAATAAGCTGTCTGCAGGGCATACATCCTAATACCCCAGCTGCAACAAATAAACATGTTTGTGCATGTGAGCCAACACAGGCAGCCTTACCTTTAACACTGATGCAGCGGCAAAAATAATACCAAAGCTGGACCTTGTTAGAATCTACAGAAGTTAAAAAATAGTTTTACTCAATTATTCTTTACACCCTGCTTTTTTTGTCTTATCTTACTCCTGTGGAAGCATTACTACGCCATCCACTGGTCTGGCCTATGTATTACAACACCTATTATGGCTCCTCCTCCTTTGGACGATTTCATTTTTGCACTAAATGTTTCTGTGAGGACACCCTACTTCTTTTTTTTTTTTAAGGAGATGGGTTTTAGTTCGATTGGTCAAAAATAAAGCTATCTGCCAGAGACTTTTCCACAAATGAATCAAACTCAATTCATAGTTTGCCACATGTAAATTCATCATATGGTCTTCTTTTATAAATGTATTATTTTTGTTTAAAGTCGTTATTTAACTAACATGCTTTTAGTGACACAGAAACAACTAAACAGAGCCTTACAGGTATTTGTTTTCCTTTATTTAAGCTTCACCTTCCAGCTGGCACTGTTCATCAATGCCGACTCATCACACTGATTATTGTCCCCCTTGTGATGCCATCTCACTAAATAAACACATTGCTGATTTTATTTTGTAGTTTTTTGTTTTTTTTTTATATAAACATAGCTTTTAAAATGTTATATTCATGCTGTAAAAAACTGCACTTTACTATTTATCTATGTTTTTATTGTTAGTGTGCTTGTAAGTACGCTGAAGAGGAATGTAAGTAACGGTAAGCTTAATGTTTTATTTATAAAAACACCAACAGCTGCCAAATACCATACATACAGGTCTAACCCAGCCTGAATTATTCAGTGTTTCATTACAGATTTTTTTAAAACACAGATTGGGTTTGTGAAACTTGTGGATAAAAGTTTGAAATAAAGATTTTTTTTTTTACAAAAAGTGATATCTATTGTCTTATTCTCAAGAGTAAAGTAAGTGCTAAACCAAGGTAACATTAATTCAAGAACAGCTATTTTCATATGCTCTGACAGCAAAAATAATCAAACAATGGATATGGGCTTTATTTTTATGTCCTGTCATCTAAAGTAGAAGGAATATATATAATTTCCAAGACTTTTCCAAAACAGGGATGGGTATCTTTTACAAATAAATCCAGTGCTTGTTTATAAGAAGAATGCCACTATAGGGGGAAAGCTACATGTTTAATATATACCACAAGCCATTTGGAAGACATGGAAAGAATGGAAGATGATCAGATAAGATTTAAGTAAAAAGAAAAAAAATCTTTTAGGACTACAGGCAAAACATTCTCCGGCCCTGCATATCATCCTCAATAGGCTACACCATGGTGGTGGCAGAATTATGCTATGGGAAGTATTTTCTTGAGAGGGGACAGAGATACTTCTCAGAGTTGATGAGGAAGATTAGTGCGGCTGAAAATGGTACAATCCTACAAAAAACATTTAAGACAGTTTCTTATTTTTTAACGCTTAACTCTACTTTTCCACTATGGGGAAACTGGAGCCTCTCCTACAGGAGTGCTGCCAAGATTGTTTGACACAGAAGTCGGGCCACCACAATAGCAGAACTCAAACTCCATTAAAATTAGTCAAATCAGACCTAATCGTCATTGATCGCATATTGTTTACAGCAGTTATGCTTCAAAAGTTGCATACTTTCACAGCAAACAGTGATAATGTATAAATAAAATCAGAGGCAAAAATAATTCAACCAGTAAGAAATGCTCAGAATCCAACCTGTACAAGACACCTTTAGTCAAGGATCCAAAAAGTCCGGTCTCCTAGCTGGTCAGATTTGAACCAGGTTCCAGCTGTGAAAACATAAAGGGGAAAAAAACTACCATTCATTGGAATCACAGAGGGGAAGAAAAATAATCTTGTTCCTGAGAAGATTTTACTGGAGAAGTTCTCTAGATTTGAGACAGAGCTATGGCCACTTTCTAGCAAGAAAACAAAGCAATAGTCCGGTGCTGATCAAAGCATATTTTAATGTTAGGATCCAGATTTACCACTTGACTCTTGATCTTTGTATTTAGTGTATATTAGTAACCAGGCTAAACCTGCTAACCAGTTATCCCTCTGAAATGTCTGCCTGATGAAATAAAATCTGTTCTTAAGACAGAGTGTATACAGTTCAATATCTAAACATTGAAGGTAAAATATGAACTTTTTTAGACAATTGAATCAATGAAGTCGTTGGTAAGGATATAAGTTTGGAAACTAACAAAAAAATGTGTATTTCTCACAGTTTGATACTTTCACAAATGGAAAGCATTTCAATATAAAGCTCTAAGGTTAAAAAGGAAAAAATAATTGGTGATGATCTTTTCATATATAATATTTGATAAAAACTCCATAGCTAGTTTTTTTCTTAGAGACTAGACAGATGCTATGTTTAGGAATATTGACTGCATGGACACATTTGACCTTTTATTGATTTTAGTTTTAAAGAATAAAACAAACTGTTGTTTGGAAAATCTTAAAATTTTCTATGGTTGTAATATTGAAAGCGATCAGTTTTTTAAATACAGAGACAAAAATCTGTTAGAAAAAAATACATAATTTGGGATAACTGTTGGGAATGTATCAGCGACTTTGAGGTCTGGAAACCAACACC